AAAAGGGAGGACTTTGGGAACATCAGAAAATTCACACAGGGGAGAAGCCCTATCAATGCATCGAGTGTGGAACATTTTTTCGTACGACAACAGCCCTCAGATGTCATATGAAAGTTCACACAGGGGAAAAAAATTACAAATGTTTAGACTGTGGGAGATCATTTGCTCGCCAAATATCCCTTAGAAATCACAGCCTAATGCATATAGGTGAGACGCCCCATAAATGCTTGGAGTGTGGTAAATGTTTGTCCAGAAAAGATACTCTTTTGAGGCATCAGAGAATTCATACTGGAGAAAAACCTTATCAATGTGTGGAGTGTGGGAAATCTTTTCCTCACAAAGAGTATCTTAGAAACCATGAGAGGCTTCACACAGGAGAGGAACCTTACAAGTGTGGGCAGTGTGGGAAGTGCTTTACTTGCAACTCACAACTTCGTGCCCATGAGAAGATTCACACAGGAATAAAACCTTATAAGTGCCTTGAGTGTGGAAAATGTTTCACTTGGAGTTCATCTCTTCGGAGCCATGAAAATACACACAGAGGGGAGAAAAACAAAATGTGTCTAGAATGTGGGAAATGTTTTTCCAACAAATCAAGCCTGGTACGACATCAGAGAATTCACACTGGTCACAGACCCTATGAATGCCCAGAATGTGAAAAACGATTTGTGGATTCTTCTGAACTTCGGAGACACCAGATGAGGCACAAAGGAGAGAAACCCTATAAATGCGAAGAGTGTGGGAAAAGCTTCTGTCAAAAGACAGTACTTTCAGAACATCAGAAGATTCACAGAGGGGAGAAACCCTATCAGTGCATCAAGTGTGGAACATATTTTCGTAGGAAATCAAACCTCACATGTCATATGAAAATTCACACAGAGGAAAAAGATTACAAATGTTTAGACTGTGGGAGAGCATTTGCTTATTCATCATCCCTTAGAAATCATAGCCTAATGCATATAGCAGAGAAGCCCCATAAATGCTTGGAGTGTGATAGATGTTTTTCCAGGAAAGATACTCTTTTGAAGCATCAGAGAATTCATACCACAGAAAAATCTTACCAGTGTCTAGAGTGTGGGAAATCTTTTGCTCACAAAGAATATCTTAGAAGCCACGAGAGACTTCACACAGGAGAGAAACCTTACAAGTGTGGGCAATGTGAGAAGTGTTTTACTTGGAAATCAAAGCTTACAGTTCATGAGAAGCTTCACACAGGAATAAAATCACACAGAGGGGAAAAAACCAAAAAGTGCCTAGAATGTGGGAGATGTTTCTCCCAGAAATCGCACCTGGTGCGACATCAGAGAATTCACACCGGAGACAGACCCTATGAATGCACAGAATGTGATAAAAGATTTGTGGAGTCTTCTGAACTTCGGAGACATCAGTTCAGGAGGCACAGAGGAGAAAAACCCTATAAATGTGGAGAGTGTGAGAAAAGTTTTACCTCAGCAACGCAGGTTCAGATTCATCAGAGAATCCATACAGGGGAGAAGCCATATAAATGTGGGGAGTGCGGGAAATGCTTTTCCCGAAAACAACAGCTTGGAATGCATCGTAGGGTCCATACAGGAGTAAAGCCATACAGATGTATAGAATGTGGGAAGTGTTTTGCTCAAAAGGCAGGACTTTGTAAACATCAGAAAACTCACACAGGGGAAATGTCAGGCCTAGCCCAAATAACTCCTGGAGACCATGTAGGTTCAATCAGCAAGGTTTATTAGCCAGCGCCTGTTTACAGAAATCATC